TCCCCCCCCCTACTGCCCCTCCCCCCCCCCACGCAGCCCTTCTGTCCCTTTGGTATTCCCCTGTCCACCCCAGGACAGTGACAGCATGGGAAACTGTGTCCTGTAACTGTCAGTTTAATTTGGTGACCTTAATTTCCTCCCTGAAATTTAATAAAAACCAAAGTTTCTCATTCAAATTTGTTCATGGTATTGCTAACATTATTATTATTTTATTATTATTATTATTATTATTATTGTCACTGTGTGGATTTATTATATGGCTCTGGTGAACTATATTGAAACTATGACTGGGTATGGTATGGGACAAAAAATGAGAATAAGAGGTACATTTCCTACATAAGTCACAGTATTAGAACTGGTGATCATGAGCATGGACTTTGGAGCCAGATGGCCTGCGTTTGATTTCCAATTCAGCTAGCTTCTTAACTTGCTGTGTAATTTTGGGCAAACTAATGGAAACTTTGTGCCTCAGTTTCCTCACCTGTAAATAGGGATAATAATAGCTTACCTCATAAAATTGTGTGAGGATTAAATGAGTTAATGTTTGTAAAGCACTTAGAACTCAATAAATGTCTGTTGTTGTTGTTGTTGTCGTTGTCGTCGTCTTGGTTAATTTATTTAAAAGACTGCTATGACCCATTGCAGAACTATCTGAGGGCAGAGGTTGACCTGCCCATCACTTTCCCAGGATCAAGGGAGTGGAGATTGAAGGGTGTTTACTCCCAGAGGTTAGGAGAACAGAAAGTTGGTAAGGGTAGGTCAGGATACTGCTTTTGCTTTTGCCTCAAGCTCCAATATAGTTCTGCACAGTGATATTACAGATTCTATCCTTATTTAAAATTTTGATTTTTTATTCACTGTAGATTTCCTTGTGTTAATTTTGATTTTTAAAATATTGTATTAAAATGTTTATCTTGATTACTGAATTTTTGAGTGATTCTACCACCCCACCCTCCCTTACCTTACCAGCCAAGCCAGATGCCTTGCTCACCTTACCCAAGTCCCAGCTTGGAACATAGGAAAGATATTCTCAGAGTTCCTGTTTCAACCCATAAATGAGAACTTCCACTGAGTACTGGCCCTGTAGGGCAGTGGGTACCTTCCCTGGATGCCCCTTAGAATCATCTGAGAAACTTTTAAACCTCCCAAATCCCAGATCACACCAAGAACCAGGATCTCAGAAGGTGGGATGAAGCCATCAGCATGTTTTGAAGCTCCCCAGATAGTCAGTGTGCACTCAGGTTTGAGAACAAATGTACTAAGGTTGCCTTCTCTCAACTTCTTACTAACTCCTTCCCTAAGACTCCATGCAAGGTCAGGACCAAAGTTAGGGTCCAAGACATGTTCAGGGGCCTTATCTCTTGGCTCTGATTTACTTCAATGGGGTCCAACAGCATCAGCTTATTAGAATCTGAGCAGAATCTCAAGTCCCACCCCAGACCTTCCGAGTCAGAATGTGTGTTCCAACAAGATCCCCTGGTGATTCATAGGCACACTAAGATTTAAGAAACTTCTGGCTGGTTACATACCTGCTCCATAGTCTGCCTTTCTAATATATTAGTTCAAGACCTAGACTTACATGGTGCCGATAGTAGAATCCCCTGTCTTTGGTTGCAGGTCTAAGCCATATTCTCTAACCCATCTTTAATTTAAAAATTGACATGCTAACCACAATCTAACTCCTGCATCTATTTCTTAATTGGTTTGGTGTTACTTAGCCTTAGGTTCAACCACACATGACAAAAACTCCGAAGTGACAGTGGCTTAAGCAAACCTATTTCTCTCACTCATTAAAGCCTAGAGATAAATTTGCATAACATCAAAGGCCCAGGCTACTTCCATCTTGTTCTTTCATCAAAATGGCCTCCATAGCCAGTTACCTCATAATTTAAGGCAATAGCTCCAGTTCCAACTATCACATCCACATCCCTCTCAAACAAACAAACAAACAAAACAGAAGGAACATGATGGGAGAAAGTCCAAAAGAAATGAAATGTCCTTGTCTTCAGGATTCCTGTAAACCAACAAATAATACTTTGGTTTACATCTTTTTTTCCAGAACTTGGTTACTTGGCCACACCCTGCTACAATGAAAGCTTGAAGACAGAGTCTTGAGTTAAACTATGTCATTGCTGAATATCTACATTCTGGCTCTGTTCATTTTATGGTAAAGGGGTATTGAAATCTCCAACTATGATAATGAGGCAAGCATGATAACCACTACACTATGTAAAATGCAATTCCAACTATGATAGTAGATTTATATATTCATTATTGCAGTTCTCTCAGTTTTTGCCTTAGCTATTTGATGCTCTGTTGTTTGGTGCATACATGTTAAGGATTGTTATGTCTTCTTGAAGAATTGACTCTTTTATCATTATATAATGCCATTCTTTATCCCTGATTACTTTCCTTGCTTTGAAATCTGCTCTGTCTGAAATTAATGTTGCTAATCCTGCTTTCTATTGATTAGCATGGTATATTTTTTTCCAACCCTTTACTTTTAATCTGTATGTGTCTTTATATTTAAAGTGGGTTTCTTGTAGACAACAAATAATTGGGTTGTGCTTTTTGATCCACTCTAACAATCTGTTACATCAATTAAGAATAAGAAAAATAAAAATTTTAACTTTACCTTTACTTATTTTTTCTTTGATGCTCTTCCTTTGTGTAGATTTGAGTTTCTGTTCTATATAATTTTCCTTCCCTCTGAGGAACTTCTTTTCACATTTCTTTCAAGGCAGGTCTACTGACAACTAATTCCCCCAATTTTTGTTTGAGAAGGTGTTTATTCTTCACTTTAAGGATGGTTTTGTAGGGTATAGAATTCTGGGTTGGTGGGGTTTTTTTCTCTCAATGCTTTAAACATTTCACTCTCTTCTTGATTGCAAGGTTTCTGAGAAGTCAGCTGTAATTTGTGTCTTTGTTCCTCTATAGGTATGGTGCTTTTTCCCTCTCTTCCAAATATTTGGTTTGTTGTTTTTTTTTTTTTTTTATCTTTTTAATCTTTGATATTCTGTGTTTTGAAAATGGCATGCCCAGAAGTAGAATTTTTGTTGTTGTTTTGTGTGTTTGTTTCTTTTAAGCATTTATCTTTCTTCCTGGATTTGTGGTTTGGTGTCTGGCATTAATTTGGGAAAATTCTCAGTCATTACTGTGTCAAATATTGCTTCCATTCCTTTCTCTCTTTCTTACTCTTCTGGTATTCCCATTATGCATATGTTACACCTTTTATAATTGTCCCACAGTCCTGGGCTATTTTGGTCTTTGTTCCCTTTGCTTTTCTGTTTTGGAGGTTTCTATTGAGAATAAAGATCAAGATTAGAGATTTACTCCTCAGCAGTGTTCAATCTACTAGTAAGCCTATCAAAGGTATTCTTCATTTCTTTTAGAATTTCTTGTGGGGTTCTTTATTAGGATTTCTATTTCTCTGCTTGTATTGACCATCGCTTCTCACATGCTGTCTACTTTATCCTTTAGAGCCCTTAGCATATTTAAATTCTCAATTAGATAATTCTAACATCCTTGTCATGTCCGGTTCTGATGTGTTCTTGTAATTTTTTCTTAATAGTCAGACATGATACACCAGATAGATGTCTTTTCGTGAAACTGTGCCCCTGAACTGTGAACTTCAGAAGTGTCTCAGTTTTTTACACTTTCCCACTTAGGTGGAACAGGATGACTAGAGTGGACTGGAGTTGGGTATGTTCCTTCTCCATGTGGAAGGCTACAGCTGACTGGAGTTGATTACATGCATACCTCTGAAATATTGTGAGTTCGGTTCCAGACCACTGTAATAAAGCAAGTTGTAATCTTTTTGCTGCTGGATAGTCTTGCCATCAATTTATAAAACACATAACAGCAGTGAAGTGCAATAAAGTGAAGTGCAATAAAAGGAGATATGCCTATATTTTTCTTCTGCCAGGTCAGTTAGGCACTGACAGTACCCTAGAACAAGGTGCACTGGTGGAGTTCAAAATGGTTTCTTTTCCCTCTCCACTCTGGAAGCAAGAAAGGATTTTTTCTCTGATATTAACTGTGGGAAATTGGTCGAGTTCCTGGAGGTAAAATTCACAAAATTATGCTCCCACCATGGCTGGGTTTCTTGGAGATTTTATGTCTCAGAGTTGTCCATGCTGAGCCTCCAGCAATATGTATACGATTTAGGTTTCCATGTCCCAGCGCTGATTCCTTCTGAGATTTCTGTTCATGAGTTTCTGCTGTGGTAAATTAAGATGCTCTGTATCCAAGTGTCTGTCTCTCCAATGTGGAGGGAGGAAGTTTGCTTATTTCTCTAACCATTATAAGAAGAGTTGTTGATTTTTCAGTTTGTTTGACTTTTTACTTGTTGTTTGGATGGAGTGACAACTTCTAAGCTCCTTATATGCCTGACTAGAAACCAGAAGTTCCCCATCCTCAATATTTAGAAGTATTGAGCATCCTAATAATTTCAGCCTCTTGAAAACAGATCTCTTGCAGCCTTCCAACCTGCTTCAGTATGGGTTGGTTTCTCTCTGTGGTGAAACCACAGAGACCTTCTGTAATTTTCCTTCACCATTATTCTGGTAATTCTCTCCATCTCCCTTGTATGTTAGTCCATGTTTCCTGAATTTGGGGTCTTCTTACTTCCTCTTTTTGATGGAGTACATCCTCCCATTGTTTATTATTAAGGATATTTGAGAAGTATTTGTTTTTAGAGCTTGAATATCTAAAATTGTCATTTTACCTTTTTATGTGATTGAAAGTTTGGTAGCTGGAAATCACTTTATGTCAAAATGTTATAGGCATTGCTTCATAGTCTTATAGTTTGCTTTCTTGACTATTACACTGAATGCATTTAGCAGAAACTCAAGCATAGGAGTAGTCACATCAAACCCAGGAACACCATCCTAGATCCTCCATAGAACAGTGGCTGAAACCAGCTTCCCTCCCTCTTCTCATCCCTTACTTCCTCTTCA